CCTCGGCACACACACATTCACGCAGCAACACGCAAACCCACTCTTGCGACTCCCGGGGACCTGAGGAAGCGGCGCGGAGAGGCGATCCTCCCCGGCCGGCCCCGGCTCGACTTAGTTGCGGGGACTCTACTGTTCCCGCGGCGCGGGGTGGGGGTGCCCGGCGCCAGGATGGGGAGGGACGGCGCGAGGCGAGCCGGACACCGGGACGGGGGCTGGAGGCGGAGATCTCCGGGCCCGGCCGGGTTCCAGGCTCCCCGCGGCGGGAGGAGGGGAGAGTGGAAAGGCCTGGGTCCCCTTCCTGACTCCCGGAGGACATGCCTATGGCGGCCGGGCTCTGCTTGGCTTGCTCCCTCCCCGACCGATCCTTTCTTTCCCACTTCGCGACGAGCGCTATTTGCTCGCTTTATTTCTGTCCTCTCCCCTGCGAGCTCCAACGGCAGCATAGGGACCGCCCGCCCCGGCCCCGCCCGATAGCCCCGTAAAGCCACGGGTACTCCGCGCCCTCCCGCGGTGGGCTCAGCCGGTGGGCAACGGAAAGCGAAGGCAGCTGGTGGGGACGCTCGGTTTTCCGAGCCCCACTTTCCTTTCACTGCCCACTGGGATGTGTAGTTTTTCCTCTCGCCTTTCCGCTCCGAGCGGAAACCCGACTCGGGGACCAAAAAACTGCAAATCCCTGCATCCCTCGCGACGAGGGCGGGCGAGGCGCGGTGCTAGGCGTTCTAGGGCTCTGTGGTTGGAGATGAGAACTAACAAAGGGAATGGTGGGGAGTGGTTGTCCCTTCCCTGCCCTGGGCACTCTACACGTTACACACGTTCTTTATCTAATCCTCACTACGAGGTTACTAACCCTGCGAGGCACGATTGTATCCAGCTTAGAGATCGCTTAACTACTTGTTAGAGGTCACAAAGCGCCCCGATGGTAGAAACGGGACTGAACCCAGAGCCCTGAGAACTTCCGTACAAAGCGCTGCCTCAGAGAGCAATGTCAATGTGATGGGGGCTTCGTCTATCCAAGAGAGAAAAAGAACTGGGGCCAGTAGGGAAGAACTTCCTGTATATAGTAAGAACAAAGTGGGGATGGCAGTTACAATATGACATGAAATTATATGGAGTTACCTATCAAAAATGGAATTTACAAGGGTCCATTCCAAAGCAGGTTAGGGAAATGAGTAGGATCCTAAATATAGTTAGAATTGAGTTTGAGTGCTTTTAGCTATCAAATACAGAGGGGCATATTATAGAACAATTAAGTACTTTATAGCTGCATTATTTTTAAAGAGAAAACTGGCAAGCCTCACATTTCAAGTAAAAGCTCTTATATGCTCTTACCCTTTACCTCATGGGATCAATGGAATGTTATTAAATTTATTGCAAGTGTCCAATTAGTATACTAGATCCCTTGACTTGATGATTTTTTTAAAAAGGCTCCCATTCCTATTCTTGTTAATTTTTCTGGCATCATGCTTATACTTTTTTAAAGCCTCCTCTGTTAGACATACATACTAAAATTACTTAATGTTTTAAAATACTCCCTCCTGCCCATCCTTAAAACACATGAGGGTATGAATGAAACAATACTGGCAAACTGTTGAAACTTTTGACATTAAGTGATATATCTGTACTACTTATCTAATCCAGCAAATTACCACAAATTTAGCATCTTAAAACAACACAGATTTGTTATCTCACAGTTTTTATATGTCAGGTGTCCAGGCACCTGGGATCCACTGCTTAGGTTGGCCATCAAAACATTGCCCAGTCTGTGTTCTCATCAATGGCTCAACTGGAAAAGAATCAGTCTCCATGTTCTCTCAGGTTCCTTGTAGCTGTAAGACTAACGACCCAGGCTTTTTGCTGGCAGTCAACTGGAGATTGCCCGCAGTGTCTATGAGGACATTGTCACACACACAGTTGGTATTGTCACATGGCCTTTCCCAGCATGGCCGCTTATTTCTTCAAGCCAGCAGAGTCCCTAGAGAAGGTCTGTTACCAACAAGGAATTTTATATAACAAAGTAACAAAGTGCCGTATTCTACTGGTTAGAAAACAAATCACAGGTTTCACACACACTTAAGGGGATTATACAAAGGTATGCATTTGAGGATGATGGGGCCACCCTAGAGTCTGTCCAACAGAGTGTACAAGAGGGCCCATTAGGCTGTTCTTACCTACCACATCTAAGCTTATGTTTATATGTGAAATATTCCATAATAAAAATAAATTACTTCTTTTAAAATTATATCTAAATTTTCCATTGCAAGTAAGCTTCTAGGTAAGCTGATGTGATTGTTTGCAGTTGTCTTCCTACGAATTCCTTATTTCATTCACTCCATGTTTACTCAGCCTATGGCAATTAATTGATTTAGGGTGCATACCTAAAGAAGTTCACTAGAACCTACCGTGACAACTGTGGATTTTAGCTCACCACCAAAAACTATAAGGTGTGATGGAGTTCATTCATTCATTTCCCGATTATTTATTTAGAGACGAGTTTGTGCTCTATCTGTTTTTAAGTACTATTTTATTGGCAAGGATATAAAAGGATTGAGGTAGATGTTTATATTTGGGGGCTAGAGAGATAGGTGGAAAGAACAAACAATAAATGCAAATAAAATGCAAACAATGAAAGCACAAAAGTGACTAAATGATAAGACCATTCCAGAGAGTGATTACAAGAACATAGAAACAAAGCAGGCTAATGGGATGGGGTGTGTGGGCAGGGAGTTTGGGAAAGAGGCCTCCAAGGAGGAGACATGTGAAGAGAACCAAAGGAGAAAAACAGCAAGTGTGAAGGCCTTAAGGCAGACCAAACCTAGAAAATTATAGGGGAACAAAGAAAAGACAGAGTGGATAGAATGGAATGAGGGACTAGGTGCATGGTAAGAGGTAACACTTGGAAATGACAGTACCAGTGAGGCATCTGGACTTTACAAGCACTGGGAAGTCATTTAATCTGTGACCATCACTGTATTAAGTGTTGAGGGGTCAGAAAGAAGAGTAACATGCAGTACTTTGCCCTCAATGAATATATAGGTTCCAAACTTTAAAGCTAGAACTTCAGGGCCTCTAAAATTAGAGACCAAAACATTTGTTTTGGACATGAGTAAATTGAGGTCCAGAAAAGGAGTCACCTGCTAAAAATTCCTTGAGAATGCTACACAATAACAAATAATCTATAAATGAATATTGAATTGAAAGAGTGCATCCTCTGATTTAAAGCTTTAGGAAACCAATGATAATTAATTAGTGCCTGTTGTGTGGAAGGCAATGTGATAAAGAAGTTGAATATGGCAGAGAAACTACAATCTAGTTCAGGAAAGATGACACTCATGAGAAAGTAAATAATGAAAGAAAATACTATAAAAATAACTCTCCTTTCTGGAGTATCTTCTTGAACTAGGCAATGTCCTGGATCTTGATTCATTTACTTCATTAAATCCAGAGGACAAACCAACAAAGTAAGGATCATTATCTTTATTTCGCAGAGGAGGGAAGTGAAGAGCAGAGAAGTCACGTGATTTGCCCGATGCTACTAATGAGTATGAGACTCAGGATTCATGGCCAAGATCTACGTCGAATCCCAGTTTTTTGACTCCAGTCCACTAGCCAATGGAAAGAGTATACTGTGTATGACCAACTGCTGATCAAGTAGAGTATCTTGACCTCAGAGGAAAGAGAACCCTCTTGAGACTTAGACTGTAGCAAAGTGGGACTCTGGGACTGGGCGGTTTGGAAAGGCAGAACAAAAGGGGTTAGGATCTCAGGAAATGGTGGGGAAACTCACGATGTTTCTAGTTGCAGTAGAATCAACAAGGTTTCAAGTGCAA